CCTCCGCCTCCTCCTCCTTCTTCATTCCTCCTCCTCCTCCTCCTCCTCCTCCTCCTCCTCCTCCTCCTCCTCCTCCTCCTCCAGGTATCAATGGCAGGCCACTCCTCCTCCTGTAGAAAGACTGGCCCGACCTGGCGCTTGGCCAATGCAGTGCGCGAATGGGGCACTCCGTGCTCTCGAGCCGCAGGAGACTGCATGTTTGCGCAGGGCGAGCGTGCCCGCGTGCGGCAGAACTGCCGGGCTCCGCCAAGATGTGTAAGTTGCTCCTCCTCCTCCTCCTCCTCCTCCTCCACCTCCACCTCCACCTCCTCCTCCACCAAGATTGAAGGGGCACAGGGACACACAAATTATTCACTGCATGGACCTCCCCATATGTGCATCTCTTTGCATTGGCATTTCCGCCGTGAATGTCTAGGCGCAAGAAACCTCGAATATAAACGAGCTTGGCGATTGACAGCCTGGGAGAGAGTCGAACTGTGAATGACTTTGAGTGTGTATGAGCCCCAATAGTACGAGTGAGTCTATGCGCGTGAGCCTGCGCATGGCTAAGCTTAGGGTGAGAGTGTCTGCACTTCAGCGGCCTGAGCATGACTGAGCGTGACTGAATCCCCCTGGGGTCTCTTGGGGCTTCCTGGGGCTTCCTCAAGTATCCTGGGGCTCCTGGGGCCTCCTGGGGCCTCTTGGGGCTTCCTGCTGCTTCCTGGAGCCTCCTGGGGCCTCCGTGGGACTCCTGGGGCCTCTTGGTGACTGCTCTCCTGGGGCTTCCTGAGGCCTCTTGTGGCTTCCCTGGGCCTTCCTCGCGCTTCCTGGGGACTGAGCCTCCTGAGACCTCCAGGGTCCTTCCTGGCGTTTCCTGTGGTTTCCTCGGGCCTCTTGGAGCCTCCTGGTACCTCTTGGGGCTTCCTGGACACCAAAGGTTCGTGGCCCACAGGACGCCCAATATATAAGAACATACGTAAAGCACGTCGGATTGGAGCCGCAGGCGAAGGACAGTATACAGGAGCATACGTAAAACACAAAGGAGTCGTGCCCCAAGAGAGGCCTGATCTATAGGAACATACGTAAAACACATAGGATGATTGGAGCCACTCGTGGGGCCTCCTGGGGCCTCTTGGAGCCTCCTGGTGCCTCCTGTGTCCTTCTGGGGCCTCCTGGCGCTTCCTGTGGCTTCCTGAGGCCTCCTGTGACCTCTGGGGCCTCTTGGAACGTCCTGTCCTTCCTGGAGCGCCTCGGGGGGAGCCTCGTGTGACATTCTGGGACTTCCTGGGGCACCCTGGAGCACCCTGGGGCGTTCTGGTGACTCCTCGAAACTCGTGAAGCTTCCTGGGGGCTCCTGGAGCAACTTGGAGCATCCTGGGGCCTCTTGGGGCTTCCTGTTGCCTCCTGGAACCTCCTGGGACCTCCTGTGGCTTCCTGGGGCCTCCTGGAGCCTCCTTGGGCGGGCCTCCTGGGGAAGATCCGTCCACGATTCTGGCAGCCAAAACACGCAAACCGCTCGAGACATCCTCGCAATATAAGCCCCCCGTGGGTGCGAATGTCAGCGCCTGCACTCGACTAGGCTTGCCACCAAAACAAGCATACCGCTCGAGCTATCCTCGCAATATGGGCCCCCTGGGGTGCGAACACCAGCGCCTCGCACGAGACAACATCCAAATCTGCTCCGAAAATAAAGGATGCTGGGTCAGGAACACGCAAACCGCTCGAAACATCCCCGCAATCTGGGCGCGAACGGAGACCGTGCAACACCCCTGGCGCCGCCCCCCCCCCCCTCCCCTAAGAAGTGTTAAAACAAGCAAGCCGAATCTGCTGTGACCGCGCACGAATCTGGCCACCCAAACAGGCAAACCGCTCGAGACACCCCCGCAATCTGAAACGAAGGATGGTGAGCATGCGATCAAGCAAACCGCCTGGGATGTCCCCGCAATCTGGGCGCGAACAAAGGCAGTGCAATACCCCTGGTGCCCCCCCCCCCCCTTAGGAAGCGCCTCGCACGAGACATCATCAACATCTGTTCCGAAAACGGATGACGTTGGGCATGCAAACAGGCAAACAGCTCGAGCCATTGGAGCCTCCTAGGGCCTCTTGTGGCTTCCTGGGGCGTCCTGGGGCTGCCTTGACCATCTTGGAACTCCTGGTGCCTCCTGCTGCTTCCTAAAGCATCGTGGAACCTCGTGGGGACTCCTGGGGCCTCCTGGCGGCTCTTGGGGACTGCTCCTCCGTGAGCCTCCTGGGGCGTCCTGGGGCCTCTTGGGGCTTCCCTGTGCATTCCTGGCGTTTCCTGGGGGGGGCTGAGCCTCATCACACCTCTTGGGTCCCTCCTGGCGTTTCCTGCGGCTCCATCGGGCCTCTCGGAGCCTCCTGGTACCTCGTGGGGCTTCCTGTGGCTTCCTGAAGTCTCCTGAGACCTTCTGGGGCACCCTGTGCCTTCATGGAGCCTCCTGGTGAGGATGCGTGCCCCATGAGAGGCCCAACATATAGGAACAGATGCAAAACACTGAGGATTGGAACCACAGGGTAAAGACAACATACATGAACAGGTCTACAACACAAAAGAGTCGTGCCCCACAGAACGCCCAATACATAGGAACATACGTAAAACATGATCTATAGGAGCATGAGTAAAACACCTAGAATTGGAGCCGCTCCTGGGGCCTCCTGGGGCCTCTTGGAGCCTCCTGGTGCCTCCTGGGTCCTTCTGGGGCCTCCTGGCGCGTCCTATGGCTTCCTGAGGCCTCCTGTGGCCTCTGGGGCATCCTGGAACTTCCTGTGGCTTCCTGGGGCTTCTCGGGAGAAGCCTCTTGTGGCATTGTGGGGCTTCCTGAGGCTTCCTGGAGCACCCTGGGGCGTTCTGGTGACTCCTCGAAACTCGTGAAGCTTCCTGGGGGCTCCTGGAGCCCTTTGGAACATCCTGGGGCCTCCTGGGGCTTCCTGTTGCCTCCTGAAGCTTCCTGGTGCCTCCTGGAGCCTCCTTGGGCGGGCCTCCTGGGGAAGATCCGCCCACGATTCTGGCAGCCAAAACACGCAAACCGCTCGAGACATCCTCGCAATATAAGCCCCCCCTTGGGTGCGAATGCCAGCGCCTGCACTCTACGAGCCTGGCCACCAAAACAAGCAAACCACTCGAGGCATCCTCGCAATCTGGGCCCCCTGGGGTGCGAAAACCAGCGCCTCGCACGAGACATCCTTCAAGTCTGCTCCGAAAATAAAGGATGCTGGGTCAGGAAACAAGCAAACCGCTCGAAACATCCCCGCAATCTGGGCGCGAACGGAGACCGTGCAACACCCCTGGCGCCCCTCGTTTGGAGTGCTGAACCAAGCAAGTCGCTCGAGACATCTTCAGAATCTGCTCTGAGTGCACACGAGTCTGGCCACCCAAACAGGCAAACCGCTCGAGACATCCTCGCAATCTGGACCCCTTGGAGTGCGACAACCAGCGCCTCGCACGAGACATCCTCGAAATCTGCTCCGAAAACGAAGGATATGGAGCATGCAAACAGGCAAACCGTCTGAGACATCCCCGCAATCTGGGCGCGAACGGAGGCCGTGCAATACCCCTAGCGGCCCCCCCTTAGGAGGCGCCTCGCACGAGCAATCCTCAAAATCTGCTCCGAATGGCAAACAGTTCGAGACATCCCCGACATTTTGGCGCGAACGGAGGCCGTGCAATACCCCATGGCACCCCCCTTAGAAGTGGTAAAACCAGCAAACCGCTCGAGACATCCTCATCATCTGCTCATCGTCATCATCATCATCATCATCATCATCATCATCAGCAGCAGCAGCAGCAGCAGCATCAGCATCAGCATCAGCATCATCATCAGCATCATCAGCGTCATCATCAGCATCATCATCAGCATCATCATCAGCATACTCATCCATCATTCACCATCACCTTCATACCCATATCATACTCTCACCATACCATGGTCATCATCATGACAATCATCATCATTGTCTAATGCGGAGAGGGAGGGGGGATCGGCGCGGTCAGAGAATAACAAGAACCCCATCCTTTGGACATGGGGAATAAATACACACACGCACATCCCAGGATTCCCCATATGTTTCCCATATCTTCCTGGGAATCGACGATTCATTGTGTCATTATGTTTTTTTCCCTCCTGGCAATTAAAGGCCACTCCTCGCGCCACGACCAACCTCGTGCCCCTCCCTTTCTCGTTCCTCCTCCCCCCCCCTCTGGGCACCTGCAGGCAAAGCGGTCCCCACACCTTGTCAACTTACTTACACGAAACACTTCGCCAAGCCTCCGTCTCCTCCTCTTCCTCCTCGTCCTCCTCCTCCTCCTTTTCTTCCTCCTCCTCCTCCTCCTTCTCTTCCCCCTGCTTTTCCAACCGCTGAGCGCACGCGCCCGTGGCGTCGGTCCTCCTCCTCCTCCATCCCCCTTCCTGAACTCCTCCCCGTCGCTCCCCCAGGCGTGTCCAACATCCACGAGTGAAGATGGCTTCTGCACCGCAGTGGTGCGTTATCCATGTTGGGCCTGGCGAGAAGGATGAGCGATGTACGACTGGCTCTCTTGCACAGCTGGCATCGTTGCGGCGCACGTCCCTCGACATATTACCGCGCTCTGAATCTGAACGCGGCCCGTGGTGGCGAGGCGGGCGCAACTGGCGTGGCCCCAATAATAATCTTAAAGAAATCCCACCAGCCCTCTGGGCGTAGGTGATTTAACGAGCTTGTGTTTTCTCAAAGATTCTCTCTGTCAAAACCCCTCCTTTCCCTGAACCGAGCGCGACTCCTGCACACATTGAAAGTAGGCCCCGCGCGAGAGCACGAAATTGAATGAATAATGGAGATGTATCGGGCGGGAGCCGTTCTCTTGTAGTTCGGGGGCCAGGTCTGAGTTTAACTGAACCAGGTACAAGCCTCTGGACGGGAGCGTCAATTCAAAACACACAAGGTGCACTCAAGGTGGAGCAGCAAGCGGTTGTACTTGTACTCATGAGGTTCACTCCCAACTGCTTGCAACTGACCAGCGGCTCCTAGCAGCTCCGCGCCAGGTGGTACCGGCCGCGCGACCTCAGAGCGGCACCGAGTGGTCCTGGCGGCGCAGCCAGCGGCGGGGCCAGAGGCGGAACCGGCATGAGCGCCCCGCGTCGCAACTCCCTCGAGATGGCGCCCGCCCAGCTCTTGGGGCCGCCCTCCGCGCCCTTGCCTTAGGTCGGGCGTGTCCCCCCACAGGCGGGTATTGGACAACAAAAAAAAAATCGCCAAAAATAATAAGAAGAAGAAGAAAAATGATGATAATAGTAGTAGTAATAATAATACATAGTCACAAATTGTCCAGAAATCGTCCCCAGACTATTTTCTGACCATTTTCGAATATTCCCCCTGTAAGAGGACAGGACCGATTCAACCCTTCCCCTCGGCGGCTCCTGCTGCCGGTGGCGCGGCCGCCGCTGGGCTGGCGCCTGCGGCGCCTTCTGCGGCCGGCGTCGGGGCCGCCGCGGGCCCGAGGCCGCCCTCTTCGTCGAGGCACGTGCGGCGCTGCCGCACGCCCAGCTCCCAACGCGAGCCCGCCGGCCACTGGGCGGCGGCGGCTCTCTGCTCCCAGTACGCCTCAGACCGGAGGCGCCTGAGCGGGGCCTCCTTCGACGCTGGCATCGCAGACCCCCTCCGGGGACGGTGGCCTCTGAGGGGCACCGTCTCGAAGGGCGCCGTCTCGAGGAGCGCCGGCTCGTCGCCGTCCTTCTGCAGCGCAGCGGCGCCCCAGCTCTCCTCGTTCGCGTCGTCGACCTGGTCGTTGTCGGAGGGGGGCAGCTCTGCCGTCGGGCATCGCGTGGGGGCCGAGCTGGCATAGAGGTCGAGGTTCGCCGTCTTGCCCTTCCCCTGCTCGTCGAGAGGCGCCTCAGTTTCTTGAGACAGCGCGCGAGTGGTGAACATGGTTCGCGGGGTGCTTGCTGGTAAAGAAGAAGAATAATTAGGAGAGGAAGAAGAAGAAAAAACAACAAAAAACATAAACATACACTTTTGGCGCTCCGCGCAGATTTCTTGGATCCGCGCTGGACCCCCTCCCTGGCGCGCGGAGCGCGCCAGGGGCGGCGCCGGAGGCGCCGCTGGGGGGCCCAGGCGCGGATCCAAGAAATCCGCGCGGAGCGCCAAAAGATTATGGTATGTGTTGTTGTTCTTCTTAGATTGTAGGCTATAGCAACTACACTCTGCAAACTGCGAGACACCCCCTGGAGCCAAAGTGGCTGCGGATTGCCCTGGGGGGGGCCTTGGGGGTGGGGGCGCCGCGCTCGACCGGACAAGACTGCAGACCCAGAGCGCCATCCTGAGCACACCTGCAGACATAAGGGCGGGAGGCGTCTCTGGGAGGGGGGCCCCCGTGTGCCTGCGGGGACGGGGGGGGCCGCTGTTCTGCAGTGATGGAATGCGCTCGATGAGAGGCCTCCCAGATGGGGTCGGAGTGGATGGGGTCGGAGGATCGCGCCGAATTGCCGATACATCGGCGATGCATCGGCGATGCATCGGTGATGCACCGGCGATGCACCGTCGACGTCTGCGACGCATCAGCGGCGTCGACGTGAAGCTAATCGGGCCCCTCATCGAGCCGCATCGGCGATACATCAGCGATGCGGCGCGATACTGCGACCCCATCTACTGGGCGACCGATGGTGAGAAAGCCGGCGCCCGAGCCTACAAATGCGGCCAGTGACGAGGGAATACCGGCTGGCTTTGCCAAAACAAAAGGCAATCATCGAACGCGGATACTGATGCGTGAAGATCGGCGGTGGACAAACCTCCCTTTAGCAAGCCACCCTTTAGTGAAAACGGCCTGGGGCCGAAACCAAAGGACCTGGACCCGCAAAAATGACGGCCGCGCCGCCCTCTCGCGAACCGAAAACGGCCAATTCGCTAATCGACGTGCCAGGGTAGGCGGTCTGTCAACCTCCGATCCACGATTCCCTCCCCCATTCCAGGAGGACGACGATTAAAGGGGCCCCAGGACACACAAATAAATACACACAAATAAAAGGATTCCCCATGTTTTCCCATACTTTCTGGGTTTTTTGTCTTCCCCCCAATCCCCATATTTTCCCATATTTTCCTAGGAATCGACGATTCATTGTGTCTGCGCGTTTCCCTCCTGAACGATGGCAGCACCACGCCAGCATCCGACGCCGCCCCTGCATGCAGGCCAACGGCTCCGGGGCGGCGACCTCGGCCCGTGTGCCACTGCCGAGGAGGCAGGTGGCCCGTGCCCCCGAAGTGGTCGCACAGGCGTAAAGTTAGGCTGGGCATGTCCTCCTACAGAGAGATGTTTGACGAGAAACGGAACATGGTCCAAACATATTCAAACATTGCTCCAAAATGCTCCAATAATCGGCCCCTACAAGTTTGGGACTCTTTGGGAACATTCCTCCTGAAATGCCCGACTTGAGCGTGGGGCCTCGACTGCAGCTGGTCCTGGAGGCGGCTGGGGGGTCTGAATTGGTTGGGACCCTGGAAAATCGGCCAGGGGGGGGGGTGGAGCCAGATCCGCTCAAAATCTGTCCCCGGACCCCTCTCAGGGTCCATATGGTGAGGTTTTTCACTCCAGATCTGTCTTTTACGGTTCCAGCGCCCGAAAACTGCCCCCAGAAGCAACAAAAAAATCCTCGAACCCCTCACCCCCCTTCCTGCTGGCCCGAACCAGTGCTGGACCCAAAGACGGCTCCAAAGCTGGTCAGTGACTCTTGCGACGGGGTCTCAGGACAAGGGACTTTATGTTGCATCCTTGGGGGACCTTGTCTGTCCCCTCTCGGCCCTATCCGCGTCGAATCCGTGCCGAATCCGTGTCGGCCTCGTCGGATCCGTGTCGAATCTGTGTCGAATCCACGTTGGATCCACACCAAATCCGCGTCGAGTCCGCATCGAGCCCACGTCGGGCACAAGTGAAGACACCAATTTCTCGGGGGCGCGCAAACATGGACTAGCGATCCATGGATTTGGCGCGCGATCGCCAAATCCATGGATCGGGGGAGGTGCCCTCCCCAGATGCAGCCAGTGCCGCCTCGTTCGGCGGCTGAAGCCCGCGATGTCCCATGGAAGCGAGACCCGTCGCTAATCCACGACCCTCCTCCTCCTCCTCCTCCTCCTCCTCCTCCTCCTCCTCCTCCTCCTCCTCCATGCCTGCGCTCGCCCGAACTCCGGGGGGCAGGCGAGGCCCCCCGAGGGGTGCAGCGGAAAGGGCCCCCCCTCCGAAGGGACCGCCGCCGCCGCCCGGGGCACCGGACCCGCCGCCGCCGCGCCGCCACCGGGTGCTCGGCGCGGACTGCCGCTTGGCAGCAGGGGCAAGCAAAAGCTGCCACCTGATCTAGAATCTAAGAGGACCAACCCCAGAGGCCCTCACGAGGCCGCCCAGACGCCCCAAGGAACCCCCAAGAAGCACCCCAGAGGCTCCGAAACGGCCCCCAAGTGGCTCCAAAACTCGCTTTTCACCCCTTCGCAGCTTCTACTACCCCCAGATTGGCATAAACAAGGGGTCGGCGGTGTGGCGTAAGCCTAAGAATCTCAAACAGACATGCTCTAAGAAAATTTCGTGGACACCACAACAGGTTCTTAGAACATTGCTTGGTAGGGCTATAGGCATGCCAAGACGTTTCGCCACTGCCTCAGTTCCGGTCGTCCCGAGAGTTGCGATGTTCTAAGAACATGTCGTGCAGACCATCAATAGGTTCGTAGAACACTGTTGAGTGAGACTCTAAGCGAGCCGGGGCGCTCCGCCACTGCTTGACGCACAGTCCCACGACAGGCCGAGCCCTGGGCCACGGGCGGCGCTCCGCCCGGAGCGCACGCGGGGGGGGGGCCGCCGCGCAGCCGGCAACGGCGCGAGCCTGCCGCGAGGTGACGCGAGGACGGCACACTGGGCATCGCTCGGACGTCCCTTCCCTGTGCTTCTTGTCGGTTCCGTGCGTGGTTTTTTATCGCCAAATGATCAAGGATGCTCCTCGATGGTCCTCGCTGGAGGAAACATGCACACGTCCGAGCGATGCCGAGCACATGTCGTGGTCGATGCGGGGGCGGCTTCGCAGATCGCACCCCCCCAGGGAACGACGAGGTCTCGTGGTGATCTGTGTGGGACGTGCCTCCGCCGGCCCTCCCAGAAGCCCACGGAAGGGGCGACAGATTTGCAGATCGCGGCCCCCACGGGGGCGGGGAGGACGGACGGAGGGAGGGGGGCGTCCAAGAGGGGGGGGCGCAAATCGTGGCCGGCGGCACGTGCGCGGCCCCCCGGGGGGGGGGGGGGCAGGACGCAGTGAAACAGGAAGGGGCGCCATGAGATCTCGCGACATATCATGGCCCACGCCATGATCTCCCCCCCCTGGTCATCTCCTTCTCCTCCTCCTCCCTCCTCCTCCTCCCTCCTCCTCCTCCTCCTCCTCCTCCTCCTCCACGCCCTATTTGCCGCCCCCGATCTGCGTGTCCCCGCCCCGCCCCCTCCACAGGCCACGGAGGGGCCGGGCCGGGCCGGCCCCTCCCGAAAGCGAGGGAGGGGGCGCGTCCGAGGAGCCGGGGGGGAGGCTTCCGCGAGGGAGGTTCTGGGCTGCTCCTCCTCGAGCGCGGCAGTCCGCCGGGGAGCGGCTGCTGGCCTGATGCGACACGAGACCGATGTTGCATCACAGCAGCACTTCGGCCCCTGACCTTCGTCCCGGGTTCGGCTTCGTGGAGTGACGAGTTTCGGGGTCCTCACGTGGGAAAGAACAAAAAACTCACTTCACTGATCTGGGGCCCCTGGGGCCTCAGTGGGCCCAGGGGCCCCGAATAGGTGACGTGTGATGGTTTTCGGGCCTCGCATGTGATCTCGAGGTTCTCGTGCTCTCGGCCCTGCCCTTCCTGTGGGGCGCCCCCCCGCCGAGGAGGAGGAGGAGGGAGGAGGAGGAGGAGGAGGAGGAGGAGGAGGAAGGAGGAGGAGGAGGAGGAGGAGGAGGAGGAGGAGGAGGGAGGAGGAGGAGGAGGAGGAGGGCGGAGGAGGAGGATGTGGTATGTTTAAGTGTGCTTGGATCTGTCTACCCAATCCTGCTCGGTAAACCACACCCTCACCACATTTAACCCCCCCTCCTCGTCCTCCTCCACCCTCCTCCCTTTCCCCCCCCCTCCTCTTCCCCTCCTTCCTCAGCTTCCTCCTCCACCTCCTCCTTTTCCTCCTCCTCCGCCACCTCCTCCTCGTTC